GTTATTAATACGTTATACACCTATATATACAAACGACATTTCTTCGTTAATTTTCCCCTCACAAAAATCAATAAATTTTCCGATCGTTCCTTAGCCGACGCTGCCGGTTCTCCGTTTACAGAAATCTCCATTGTTTCCAAGGTAAACCATAAATTTATCCACCAATTCCTATTTTTTCGCATTTATATTCATACATTGTGTTAATTTTTGTATTAACGATTTGATTAAATTGTACTAAAATGGAAGCAGTGATTGTTGATTCGAACAGAGCTATGGTAGGAACAAGTGCAGTAATCGAATCGATGGGTTCAGCTGTTAATGGAAAGGAGGTGGCGGATGTTCGATTTGATCCGACGGCTGTAGTACCGGAGCTGGTGCCTGCAGTGGTGAAATCGGAAGTAGATGCGGCGGTTAATGGCGGTGGCCAGGAGCAGAAGAGGGAGATAGTGTTAGGGAGGAATATACATACGTCGTCCTTTTCTGTTACGGAACCTGATGCGGATGATGATTCTACTGGTGATAAGGAAGCGTATATGGCTAGTGTTCTAGCTCGGTATAGGAAGACTCTCACTGATCGAACTAAGTATCATTTAGGTATTATGTTCGTTTTGATTTTGAATTATCACACTTGATTCTGTTTATATTTGGTTACACTATGGATAGAATCGTATATTTGTTTAGATTGGCTTAGATTACCTTTTTGACAAAAGTTGTTACTGACGGCTAAGTTTGGCTCTTCAAATAGCTGTTACACATATATATTATGACTAGAAAGACTAGGATATCAGGTCCAGTGTAAATTTTAGGCTGAATATGTAAATAAACACCAAACTTGTTAAAACACTTCATCTAGACACCTTAACTCAGTTCATGACCTGCTCAAACTGTCTCAATTATACACACAAGGATATCAGCTCCAGTGTAAATTTTAGGCTGAATACGTAAACAAACACCTAACTTGTTAAAACACTTCATCTAGACACCTTAACTCAGCTCATGACCTGCTCAAACTGTCTCAATTATACACTGTGTGCTGACATGACAAAGTGGGTGAGTTTCACCTATCTTGAGATCGTATACATGTCGATATTGAGTTAACCTTGATTTTAAAACTAATAAAATCCATTCCTCTTCTATATATAGTTCTCCCGATTTATTTCTCCCCGTCAAAGTCTACCATTTTGTAAAACACTTGGACACCAAAAGCTCCAAGAACACTCAGAAACTAAAATCAATAACAACAAAAATATAAGTGATCATTTTTGGTTCATGAACACAAGGTAAAAATGACCTACCAAACTCCATGGCAAAGTATGATGGCTCTGGAAACTTTGTGGGCTATGTTGGTGCAACCCTTAAATGTACCAACAGATAGGTTGCTCTGCCAATTTCTGCTGGTGGCACAGGGTTGGAGAAGCTATTGCAAGTGAACTGGAACATAGGAAAGTAGTCTCTATTACTTTATAACACTTGGTGAGATTTGGCCATAAAAGGTCTCTATATGATGGAAAGAACTAGAATTACAGACCAACTCATCTTGCTATCTCTAGAAATATACAAAGTTGTCCTAAAAGGTTAAGCTAATGCTAATCTAGAAGTTACTGATCTTATATCGTCGATGTGTCTTTAAGTCGGTGGTGATCCTTCTCCAGCTAGAAGTGGAAGTAAACAAGACAAAAAAGGAAGAGGGGGGAAGCAGAAGGATTAGTTTTTTAGCTTTTGAGTGTAGCTGGGTTTGATTGGAAAGAGATGAGGATTAAATGTTTGTGGGTCTGGTCTTATTGTTGGTTTTCGGAAGAAGAAGTAGAAGATATCTTTTTCCCTGTTGCTCAATATTTTTGGAAGCTACTGAATCCATGTGTCTTTATTGCATTTTTTCCCCCAACTTACCCACACATGAAATATACGTTTCTCATTTTTTTACAGTATCAATGCCTTGTGTTTAATGAGTATAGTTCTTGAGTAGCCTAGTTTTCCGTTAGGTCCTTCCTAGTTTAGGTGTCCAAATGAATAATAAAGCAAGAAAGGGGCAGCTTATGCATTTGGCATAGATTCTACTACTATTTTCCTTTTTGGTCTTCTTGTTGGTTTCAGATTTTGATAATTTATTTATTCTCCGGGCTTAAAAGTAGCAGTTGTGTGAAATATTATATGAAAGTAGCAAAGTTGTTTATTCTACCAAAAAGTGTGTGTGTTTTGGTGTTGGTGTCATATCTGCTGATATTGATGTAACCTGAGAGGATGAAACACTGGGTGGCTATTTAATATGAAGTGTTTCTCATAATCTTCACCTAATTTTGATATAGTTTCCCCCCACCTCCTAAGTTGCTGATGACTAAAGTTTGTTTTTTCTGTTGACTTTAGCGTTAAAAAGTGCTCTCTAAAATTAAAATTATTCGGATCCTTGTATTTCCTTATTAAAAAGGCCAGTCTTTATTAGAACCTTAGATATTGATTGCCTTTGGACTATCTTAGTAATGTTAATACTTATATTTTGTGTGATGAATATGTTGAAATTAGCCAACTTTATGTCCAGTGGGTGGATGAACTAGTCTAGTTTACCATATCCTCTACTTCTTTCATTGCATTCCAAGTATAAAGAAATATTTGCCTGATTAGTTATGATTGCTGATTGTCACAGGGTATCCATATAATTTGGATTTCGATTATGGTGCACTCACACAATTGCAGCATTTCTCCATCAATAACTTAGGAGATCCATTCATTGAGAGCAACTACGGTGTGCACTCAAGGCAGTTTGAAGTTGGTGTTTTGGACTGGTTTGCACGCCTATGGGATATTGAAAAGGATGAATATTGGGGATACATCACAAACTGTGGAACTGAGGGAAATCTTCATGGAATCCTTGTTGGGTTAGTATATTTTTTAATTTATTCCTTCAGAACTTTAGGTTTGCTGCTTAAGAAATGATTACCCTCGTTTTTCCTCTTTTTTTACTAATCCTACGGAAAACACAATCTTAATAATGCAGGAGAGAAGTATTTCCTGAAGGAATTTTGTATGCTTCAAAGGAGTCTCATTATTCTATTTTTAAAGCAGCACGAATGTATAGGATGGAATGTGAAAAGGTTGGCACTCTACTAACTGGTGAAATAGATTGTGCAGACTTCAAAGTTAAGCTACTAGCCAACAAGGATAAGCCTGCAATCATTAATGTCAACATTGGTACCTTCCTACTCTTTCACTGTCTGAGATATTTCCCTAAATGCAGCGACCAATTAGTTGCCTAAGGTGCCATCTTTTTTGGTTTACAGGAACTACTGTGAAAGGAGCTGTTGATGATCTTGATCTTGTCATAAAAACCCTTGAAGACTGCGGATTTTCACATGATCGATTTTATATCCACTGTGATGGGGCTCTCTTTGGGCTTATGATGCCATTTGTCAAGCGCGTAAGTAGATTTGTTTTTCCAAACTGTTTTTATTGTTCAACTTCTCCTTGCATTTCTTAAACGAAGCCACTCTGAAGTGCATGTAGAAATACTTGGCTAATGTTAGCAAAGCAAGATTTATTTGAGGTACTCTTATGAAATCAAAAATGTGAAAATAGTATGCAGCCTTGTTAGGTATTTGATGCCACTACTAATGTTGCGGAAGGTTATAATGTAAAATTGTTTCCTGTTCTCCGTAACCATTGCTTTTGATAGTTAGGGAGAAAAGATGAAGAAAAACGCAGAATTCATTTCTTTTGGTTGATTAGGAGGACTAAAAGATAAACTAATCTTCTTTTCATGTGTTCCTTGTGTTGATATACTTCTTCCCAGTAAAAGCAAATCAGAGATAGGAAGATAAGAGATTTGGTATACAGATCTTAGTGTTTATGTTCATTTTTCTTTTTGATAAATAAATGAATGCTCTCATGTGAGTACTTCTTCACAGTAAAAAACTAAAAAGAGATTCTGTAAGCATAGACCATCCACTGCCGCAGCTTTTCTATAACATAGATTTGTCTATTATCTTTCATTGCTCCTACTTACTACTATTTTATGGAACAAGATGTTATTGTTGTCTCAGATTTTCCTAATTGTAATATGTTCAATTCTTACAGGCACCAAAGGTTACTTTCAAAAAGCCAATCGGTAGTGTGAGTGTCTCTGGTCACAAGTTTGTGGGATGTCCAATGCCATGTGGTGTTCAACTAACAAGGCTAGAGCACATTAATGCCCTTTCTAGTAATGTGGAGTACCTTGCATCAAGGGATGCCACTATCATGGGAAGTCGGAATGGGCATGCTCCACTTTTCCTTTGGTACACTCTGAACAGAAAAGGGTACAAGGGATTCCAGAAGGAAGTCCAGAAGTGCCTGAGGAATGCTCATTATTTGAAAGACCGCCTTATAGGAGCTGGAATCAGTGCTATGCTGAATGAGCTGAGCAGCACAGTTGTTTTTGAGCGACCTAAAGATGAGGAGTTTGTTCGCAAGTGGCAACTTGCTTGTGAAAGAAATATGGCACATGTTGTTGTGATGCCTAGTGTGACAGTTGATAAGCTGGATAACTTCTTGGACGAATTAGTTGAAGCACGATCAATCTGGTACAAGGATGAGGACGTCAAACCTCCTTGTCTCGCTTCAGATATTGGGAGTAAAAACTGTTGCTGCCCTCAGCACTAAGTGATCTCTTAGATAGAGAAGAGAAAAGCTATAGGTTTCCTGTTGTTTCTGTCGGAAACATTAGAGGCATCGTAAAAACGATGTTTGTATTAGAGAAGCTATAATTGGTTTCTCTTTGTTTCTGTATGAAACTTTAGATTCATTGTAGAAGTGATGTTTGAATTTTGACTTCGAATCTCGTAGAAGCATATTATTGTGGCCCTTATGCTTCTGCGTATGTGTGTTTTCTATAAGGAAGAATTTGCCAAAATTACGTGGCAACTTTGTGAATTTTTTGTGTGTTCCTCTGCACTTGTTCGGTTATGAGTGCAATATTTGTTTCAGCAAGTAGTTGCTTTGAACGTAAAGATATATCATTACTGCAAATATTTAATCATTACCAAAGAGTTCCATACTTTATATATTTCAATTTAACACTGGATCTTTAGGAACAACTACAGCACCATGGTTATTTTTCCTTACATTATCCTATATATCTGAAAATGGTCTAGTTCTTCTTTTTGTAGTACAATGTAAAAGATTATCTAAAGTGGCTCAACCATGACGGGATACTTGTTCTTCAGCATCCTAACAAGTGTTGGCTGGACAGAGTCATCTGTGTCTAACGGTGTCCATCTACAAGGAAGACAAATTTTCAAGTAAGTAATGCAGTTGCCCACAGGAAATTAGATTTTTTTTTCTTTCAAGAATACTGTTTCTTGTTTATTTTCCTTACTTATATCTGCAGACAAGATGATGGAGAAAGACAGAAATTTCCAGTTTGGCTAAGTTGATTCCAGGACACATGCGTGGTCCGCTTCCAAATCCAAGGAAGCTGAAAGGTTTTAGAGGATCCTGTACAGAATTCAACAATTTTCTTTGTTATGAAAATCTCAGAGGTGTTGAATAGAAGGAGCCTGCTTATTATGTTGAAGAACTTACATCAAATCTAGAAGGATCAAACTTCTCCGGATTAGGAAATATTTTGGGGTCGCGATGAATAGACACTACATCCAAGTTAAGTGACCATCCCTTCTTGATTTTGCACCCTGAACATGGTTTTAAAGAATCATTTTACATCATACAAAATCTAGATATCAATAAATCTGACAGTTACCCTCAATCTCAAAATCTTGTGCTGCTTTTCTTGAAAACCATGGAAGGATTGTGGCCATTCGAAGTGTTTCACTGATTACCTGAACATTGAAATATACACAAAAGAAAGTTAAATTTTTTTAAATTTCAGGGATGAACAGAAGCTGGATTTATGACTAGTATGCAAGCTCACTTTGGCGGTGTAAGGCATATTGTTGACTTCAGACCAGGTGAGATCTAACGTGCCTTGTTTTTGAGCTTGGATTTCTCTATGCTCCTCCTGTAATAAAAGATTCTAAGTTAGAAACTAATGTCAGCAGTAGGTTGCTCTTCTCTGTTAGGTTCAATAAGAATTACTCTTAGTCGTTCCAATACAGCAGGATTTTCTTGAAGAAATTTGAGGAGCCATGTTAAAGCGGCAGTTGTAGTATCGTGGCCTGCAACTAGAAGCGTCAATATGTTATCCTTAAGTTGTTTATCTGTGAGTTTGTCATCATCATCTCCTTCGGGTGCATCTTTGCCATGCTTCTTCACCAGGGATTGCAAGAAATCTTGTTTTATGTTTTCCCCACTCCTCCGTTGGTCAATTATCGAGTCTAACATAGCATACATTCGATCACGAGCCTGTAGTTTAAAGACAGTCATCTCTTTTAAGCTGTCCGTTCATCATATTTTGCATAGAATATCAACAATTTGTTACCTGAATGCCACGATAAAAGGCAGTTCCCGGGACTTTAAAGGGTAAAGAAGCAAAAGAGCCAGAAATAATCTTGAAATTGGTTCGAAATTTCTCTTGCTCCTCACCAGTTGGCTCTAAACTCATTATCATGTTGCCTATCACCTTCAGTGTAAACTGCAAAAAACATCATGCGAAAGGTTCAAAAATGCCTCCGTTAGACCAAACTCTAGGAAAAAATGATCACAAGACTCAACTGTGGAAGTTTCTTCAAGAACCAAAATTTTTCTTCCAGACCACTGATCCAATGTTTCAATAGCTAAACTGTTGATAAACTGAAAATACTTCTTTAAACCATCAACAGAAAGTGGTTCAGCAATTAGTCTTCGGAGTCTCTTGTGCGCCTCTCCTGTCTGTTGGAGCAAGCTTGTAGGTCCAAGTACTTGCTGTCCTGTGTAGAAAAGGTTTAAGCTCACTATCCCATCTTTACCTGTCAACAAGATCTTGCTTGCTTCTCTTCCCGTCATGAATACTGTATACCTTCCCAACACATAACTCTTAAACACCTTCCCATACCTAATAAGCAAAACCATAACACAAATCATAAAATTGAGGTCAGACTTTAGATAACAGAGTTTTCTTCGCGAAATGATGTAAAGATAGCATGTTGAAGAGTTTTCTGAAGGGAATGACAATGTTAGATCAATCTCCAAAGCTTATATATAGCAAGAATTATCTTGCTGAACAACTTTATAACCTTTCTAAAACATAGCACATATTCAGGATTGTCCCTGGAGAAAAAATTGAACAATTTTCGACGTGCTATATTATGATGTACTCACAGTTTCTGTCTCTTGTTGATGAAGCTGTATATACCAGCAGGGCTCGAAAATTCGGATATGAAAGAGAGACTTTCTCCAATAATAGGCCATCCTAAGGTACCTGGAATTGCTTCCATTTCTTTTGGAGAAGCCTTATTTGTTCTTAATAGAACTAATAAAACTACTACTAAAACCATCACTAACAACATTACAATAAAAATGATTAAGTCCATTCTTGATTGTGTTAAATCTGCAAAATTTGATGAGTTTATATGTGATATTCTACTGATGATCTCAAGAATGTTCTGTGAACAGCTTAGTATTAAAAAATAATTCCTTTTTGTTGTCCATTAATTTGTACAAGATGAATGGTATAAGACAAATTTGACCCCATTGAATATAATACTCCATCCGTCCAAATTTATGTGAGTTTCTTTTCTTTTCCTCATCAGTAGTCTCAAAAAATAACCGATTTCTATATTTAATAAGTAATAATTTAATTTTAAACTTCTCATTTAAGACCACAAGTATTTGCGTATAATCTATTCAAACACTATCGGAGTGGGGTAGGGTGGAGTGTATCGAAGGACAGAGAGGAGACGATATATAATTGTGGAAAGATACTTATGAAATTTGCTTTTTCTATGGTAAATGCGAAATGACAATAAAATTTGGCTAGAAAATTAAAAATCTATAATATTTTTTTAATTTTAAAAAAATTAATCTTCTTTTCATTTTTTATTTGAAGTGTTAATGTTAAAAAGGTAAAACTGTTCAAAAAGGTAAATAATATAGATAAAGTGCCATTCTAGCGAAAAGATTTTTCGCACAACTCCATTAAGAAGTGAATTTTTTCCATTCTAAGGAACATATTTGTCTTAAAAAAAATATATTTTTCAAAAATTTTAACCAACCAAACACGAAAAAATTATTTCTATCATTCTACCTAATTTTCTGCAATGCTACAAATGGACAAGACGATTTTTTACTTTCCTATTGGAATTAAGCCAAGTTTAGCTTAGTTGGTATCAACATCCTTGTCTAATCACAGCTGCTTGCCATGTGGATGAGGGGAGTTATTAATTAATCCTTAATTAACTTTGGCTGATTCATAGATTCTAAAAATTTTCTGTTTTGTCTTAAGCCACTTATTGTTTTTTATTTTGGAACTAAAGTTTAAAAACTTAGTTGGTGTAAATGACAGGCTACTTGACATTTGAAAGTGATTAATTAATTAATATTTTAATCATTGCAACAATGAATTTTTTTGGCGTTGAAATCATGGCGCTAATATATGGCATCTTCTTCCTAATAATGTCAAAATAGTTTCATGTCTATTTCACATTGTAGATTCGAACTCATTTATTTTTCTCGATTTATCTACGTATTCATTTTGGAATTCAATTCATGCTTCCCATAAAGACTTCATATCATTCTCAAGATGCGAATCGAGACATTCCATCATACTCAACGATGACAAAAATCCAATCATGTTCAATAGAAATCATAAAGAAACCAATCTATAAACTAGTATGAGGCTTTGTCAGGTACTCATAAATACATAACTGGAGAGAAATAAATGCAAATTTTTTTTCCATAATCTGAGATAAAGTATGGAATCTTTTCACCAGCAAAGTATTATTTTCAAACTCTATAGTAAAATACATAAAAGATGTTGAACAATATCTAACTGATGTTTATGAAACAAGTATAACCAGTAACTAGGTATTTTGATCATAGTACAAAGTGATCTGATCAGAATGCACTCCACAGCCTGTAACACTATTCATTACATATCATTATCAATATATACAAGGCTCTATGCTAATTACTCATTAATAACATGTAGCCTTTCTTTGACATTTTCAACCCCTGTTATTGAAGTTCATGAAGCTAGGTTGAGTCTGCCCACCGATATCTTGGGTACTTGTCGTAGACTGAGGCATGTGTGGCTGCTGTTGTTGAGTATGGTGATTACCACATTGGACAAACGACTGAGGCTGGGGAGGGAAATGTGGACGCGGCGGCCCCCTGCTTCCATTTGCAGCTGACATTTGACCAGCTGTTATCTTTAGACGCTGCAGTTCTTCTCGTAAAGCTTCATTCAGAGCTGGAAGTTATTCACACACATATGTTAATACAATAAACAGCAGTGAAAATTTTACTACTTATTAAGTTGTTATAAGACATACCGTCTCTAAGATGGGCTTGTTGTTCCAAAGCTTGCAACCGTAGTTTGAGTTCTTTGTTCTCAGTAGTCAATCCACTATTGTCTCTCTGCATCATCATATAGAAATGACATGTAAATGATTAAGGATATGTTAATTGTATTATGGTTCTTGACAACAGTGTTAGCAATAGCATAATTTGCAGTGGTAATATTCCATCCAGCACCACATAAATATAATACAGTCTATGTCTACAGAAATGTCCACAACTTGAAACTCTGATTTTGCACGCACAGCATATATGACGAATAAATGGATTGTCCTAATGTATTTTACCCACCAAAATTAATGAGAATAAGGGCAAAAAGTCCAACCGTTGACCCAAGTAATTCTTTTTAAAAAGGAAAACAAAAAAGGCAAGGAGCTTCATGGGAAAACAAGAATGGCAGACCTCCACACAAGCTCATATGCATGATTTTGTGGCAGTCAGATCCATACTCCACGATGACAAACAGAGCGAAGAAGTAGAGCATAAAGGTGACTTATCAATCAAAAGTTGAAGGTCAAAAAAAAAAGATTTTACAACCAGAGCAATGAAAATAACATAGATTCTACAAAAAAATTTATTGCCAGCTAGGAAGATACCATACTCGGATATTTAGATGATGCTAGAAAATAAGATAAGAATAAGAACCTGTTAATTGATGATGACTATTCCTCCATTAAAAGAAAGATCATGAATTTAGCATCAAAGAGAAGCGCAGCAGCTTGAAAAAGCCTAATTGCTTGCCAGCTAAAGGGTGGAAAAAAAAAGGTTTGACTGAAAATTTTCCTGTATCCTAAGAAGAGTTATGCTTTCCATAATTAGCACCAAAGAGAATGCAACAGCTTAGAAAAGCTTAATTTCCTGTATTTTCCTCCCCTCCATCTTGCTAATGCTCGCACAACTTCCCTTTCTATGATTCTATGCATTCAGACCTTCACGGGATCACACTTTCTCACGTTTTCCAATATTCACCTCCCAACCACTAGTTCCGTCCTCCAGTGCCAGCAACAGCACCCTCCATATGTGATTAGCAATGGCACCATCTCTCTCTTCTCCAGTTCCCTATTACTATTTTTAGGCCTAACCATTTCATGTGTCTTGCAAAAGAGGGCAGGAACATGGAACATAGTACTCACTCGTTCAAACAGAATCCTAAATAAATAAATAAATAATGTAAAGAAATGATTGCTGTCAATGTAGTCATAACAGTTTAGTGTTAGATGGGAACAAGTTAACCCAATAACAGTCCTAATTCTAACTTCTTTGATGATAAAAGGGTTAATATTCTGCAAGCAGGAAACAATGAAAACCCGTTTACTGAAAATCAAAGGTCGCTTCACTGTTTTAGTAATAACCATCCCATTGCATTGAATATTTTGATCATCTGCCAACATTTCTTTCAAAGTCACTTTCTTATTAATCGCACTTTTCTTTCCCAAGTTTGAAGTTCTCATTAAATTGGTCAGCCAAATTTTCTCGCGAACAGTAGGACTCTTGATTCTTCATCATGGTCCTCTCATTAGGAACATAAGCAATCAATTGCTTGACCAGTATATTGGTACTTCAATGTATTTTCCTTCATCTAACCAGATGTTGGAAAACATTTAAAGATCAACACAAACACACTCCTTCCGAATCATCGGGACTCCTCTCCCTTTCCTAGCTACACTCTCTGCTAATATTTGCAATCCTGATCCTCCTCCTGAAGGCAAACCTACTTCACCTTCATAATGCTAATCCCCTCTCCTCCTCATGCACCACTAACCCCCTCATCCATTGCCAGCACCGGCACTCCTCAAGTCCTAAAAACCCCATCGCTAGCTTTGTGATGTCCCCCTCCTTGGCTGCAGCACCCCCTAGACTGCTGTTCATCAATTCTCCAATTTCTCAACCTCAATGATAATCCTTCACAAAAGCTACTTTCTCATCCCATAAAGCCATAATTTGAGTAAAAGACAAGATCATAAACATAGCACTTATTCAATTTTTTAATCTACTTTTCCTGATAGGCACTTACTCAGCTGAAAGACAACCTAAAAAGGGGAAAAACAAAGATTTATTTCTGTTGATGCTATGATTGTAATTTAGTTCTAGTCGAGTAATGGGGTGTTTTCATCCAAAAGAGCACTTTAACTTTCAAGCTTCTTCGATGACAGTTCAACTTTACTTTAAGAGGGAAGTAACCTGTTTCGATTTCTGAAAGCTATATTCTGATTCAAACAAAATCATCCAGGTAACATTGGATCAACTACACATTAAGTCAACTAAGATCTCAGCTCAAGTTACCAGCACTGTTGCCAACTTGTTTAATCACACGCTGCGATAGTTTACAAACTATGCATGAATCTTATTTCAAAAGCTCCCAAAAAATAACCTTTAGATATGATCTTATACATATCCAATGATGTGACTTGTAGGCAAAAACATTTCTATCCCTCTCTTCCTTCAGATCAACTGAAGAAATGATCCTAATCTATAGAACACACTGAAAATAGCAAATAGAGCCTCTAAATTTCACATCAATTTCAGCATTCATAACCTCTGATCTTCAATTACAAAATGGATGAGAGCTTGTTTCTCTTCCTCAACCCTCACAATTAGGTAAAAAGTACAAGAAATCTAAGTTGCTCGGACTCGGGTGCGGCTGTCTGATATGGCTACGAATCTAGAGGTCGGATCTTTCATGATCTAATTTTTAAGATTCGGGATATGGATCCATGTATAGATAAGGGTGTGGGGATTCACCTAAATATAATTAAAATATCTAAAAATAGAGTTTATAAAACCTTAATTATGAGATATTATGTGGAGAACTCGAGGAAAATATTGGAAAGAGATTAAAGGACAATGAGTGACATATAAATTTCTATATAAAAGGTATTCCATTTTCTTCAATTTCACCTTAGCCTGTGTGCTATTGATTATAGAAATCATTAAAACTATCAGACTTTCTCCATCCATTTTGGTCAAACTACCCAAAATTGGTTGACCATATCGGACATGGATCACACACCCACAC